GCTGCAGTCCACGGGGTAGCGAAGAGTCGGACACGACTGAGCGACTTCACTTTCACTTTTAACTTTCATTCATTGGAGAAGGAAATAGCAAGCCACTCCAGTGTTCTTGCCTGGAGAATCTTAGGGATGGCAGAGCCTGGTGGGCTGCCATCTATGGGGTTGCACAGAGTTGGACACGACTGAAGCGACTTAGCAGCAGCAGTAGTATACACTCTACATTTTTAAGATGTTAACAAATGTCTGATGAAATGGAATCTCAAGCTGCCCCATTAGGTATTTCTGGGGCATTCTTTTCCTACCACTCATAGTTCTTAATGAGTCATACTGTTAGGCATATTTGATTCCACTCAAATTAGCATGTTCTAAGGAGGAGGGCATGGCAACCCACACCAGTATTCTTGTCTGGAGAATACCCATGGACAGAGGAGCCTGGTGGGCTACTGTCCATGGGGTAACAAAATCTGAAACGACTGAGTGACTAAGCACAGTACATATTCAAGTTGACATACGTGAGCATTACATAACTATATATATTTTTATATTCATATATATGTATGGTATTTATATTTACCAAGTTTTATATTTACTTATATTTTATTTATTTATTTATATTTACCAAATATATATATTACCATATATAAATTTACCATTATATAACATATATATATAACATATATAGCATTACATAACTATATATATTTATATATTCATATATATGTATGTTATTTATGTTTACCAAGTTTATATTTATATTTACCATATATATATACATATATACATGTAACACACAGACACCAATACAATTATAATCAAAGTTGGTAAATATAAATATAAACTTGGTAAATATAAATAGCATGCATAACCATACATATATATATGTGTATATATATAGAGAGATATAGATATATAGATAGATAGATATATAGATCTACAACATTTGGTTTCTTCAAAGACTCTGAACTGAAAATACACCATGCATATAGGTTTTTCTGTTTATATTTACCATGTGTGATTGTAATTGCATTGGTGTGTGCATGTTCTACATACATATATGGATATAGAAACATATATAGTATCTACAACCTTTGGTTTCTTCAAAGACCCTGAACTGGATATACCATGCATGTATTGTGTGTGAGAAAAAGCAACAATAATAATTATTTGAATTCAGGAAATTATTTTATATTTCTGTTAATAAAATTAGCACTGGGACTTGAAGACTTTTGAGAATGATAAAGCTTATGCTTACTGCAAATAGATTAGAACTTCAAATACGTAGGCCAGGAACATAAACAAAGGGCGTCCCAGGTGACTCAGTGGTAAAGAATCTGCCTGCCACTGCAGGTCATGTGTGTTTGATCCCTGGGTCAGGAAGATCCCCTGGAGGAGGGCATGGTAACCCACTTCAGTACGCTGAGAACCCCCAGGGACAGAGAAGCCTGGCAGGCTACAGTCCATAGGGTCACAAAGAGTTGGACATGACTGAAGTGACTTAGCATGCAT